CTACAAATAATTAATAAACGTAATAATATATATAATATAATAATAATAATAATAATAGAGTGTACAGGAAAGGGGAGCAAAATTAAAGCAGAAATGTAAATTATACCTCTGGATACACCATACTTTCTAAATTCTGTTTATCATTTCTTTTTTCATCTGTGTGATAACTTCGATTATGAACACGCATCTGATAAGCTTCGTAACGTGCATTTTGTACTGGCTTAACACGTTCACCAATAGGCTATAAAATAAAAAAGATATACACATTAATAAGATATTATTAAAGCTAAAGACGGTTAACAAAAATTATATGAAATTAAAATGTACAATAGGTGCAAACTGTCCTGTAGGAATCCACTTTGGCCTATTATTGCCGACTGATAACCTCATCTTTTTGGCATGTTCACGTTGCTTAAAAGCTATCTCATTCTCTTGCCTTTTCTTGAAAATTTCGTCTTCAGCATCACCTAATTCAGACAGTATAAGTTGTACTCTGTCTAAATTTACATCTCCACTATCTGTTAAAAATCCCTAAAATTAATAAAAAATACTATTATTATCGAATATTCTTCATTTTATGTAGTATACATAATACAATTAATTTTCTTTAGTTTTCTATATCATTAAAACCTATATTGTTTTTATCTTCGAAAAATAAAGCATTTGATACATTTTTAAATATCAAAATTATATGATTAATAAAATAACTTTTCTTTATTTTTTATATTAATATACATTACCTACCTCTATTTTATATAGTGTCTTCGTATACATACTAACAAGTCTATCAATTGCCCCTTCTCTAATCTGCAAAGATGGAAGATGAGGAAGAAAATCATTTCCTACAAAGAAACACATGAACACCCAGTCATCAATAACTCGCTCGAAATCATATTTAAACGGTAGAGCAGGCATGTACAACTCTCTCTTTAAATATTCTCTGAGTACATTTAACCGTACAAATATGTACTGGCATTCAGATCCCAAATCATTTTCTCCTCCTGTCTCATCGACTTCTAAACCTGTACAATCCTGCATTTCGTGTCCTAATTGACCACATATATCGCATGGCTTTGGTTTATTTGGTTTAAATTCTTCACGAATAATAGTAAAATTAGGTTCATGAGTTGCAAGACCCAACATAATTAAATCAGCATCGGCTCCACACAAAACGTGCTGCGTATTAGGATCGTAATCAGGTTGTGCTATTACATGAATAAAAATATTCCAAATTTAATTTTCCATATAATATAGCAATATTTTAAACATCTATGTAACTACTTGCCTCTTTGTCTACGTATAAAATCCATTATCTTATGTTCTCCTTCACCTGGTACATTTGCATCACTCAAAATTACTTTTATATTTCTCCAACCAGGATCATTATTTAAACGATCATGTATATAATAATGTAAACACTTTGATAATCTTGCCATAAATGGTGTGCCCTGTAATTAAATTATATAAAAAATTGTTCTTCGTAAATATAGAGTTTAATACACAAAAAATTGTATACAAACTGGTGTAATACAGTTGCTATCAAAAAGCTCTTCTTTTGATTTTTCTGGAGGTAAAGTAGCTCCACGGAGAATTAATGTAGAACGTATTTCCTTTATTTCCTTATTTTTTTCTTGTGCTTCTTTCGAAGCTCTAAATCGTCTTGATCTTTGTTGATTCATTTTTGCTCTAGGTGCCTATAAATATAACAGCACATTTATAATAATTATATACAGATTTTTCAATAATTTCAACTCCACAAACACTTACAACTCCATCAATTGCCATATAAAGCAATTTTCTTGGTCTTACGATGCAAAATATGCGATCAATGCATTCAAAAATTGCTTCCATCATTTCTTCCTCGTTATTTGGTGCTGGCCTATAAAAATATTAATATTATTTAATATTTGTTTAACTATTTTACAAATTAATAATTATTCCACCAAACACTTACTTATCTTGTGGATGAGTGCAGGGATGTATAATGCCATTCATATCAAGATATAGGTTGTCAAATTCAATTCCATTTGGATTTGGTTCTGCCGAATTCACAGGCACACGTACACGCATCTTAGTTATCGGCTATAAAATTATGTTAAATTTATACTTTTTACACTTATCTTTGTGTATTATGAGCAAAACGTTTTTCATCCAAATACATAACCTAACCTACCTTCTGTTCTATACATTGCACTATTATAGAAGGGTACTTCCGACACAACCACCGAAAGAATGCTGGTACACCCATCTTCTGTTATTAATCGTTACGTTTCTACACACACCACGCGTCTTTTTTTTTATAGTTCGTCAAAAATTTGTTTATAAATTAAATGAGCACAGCTGTTTTCACCACTCACTCTTATTTAACCTATAAATAGATTTACAAATACCCTGGACCCTATCAGGATATACAATCTCATCTTATGTGCTGCCATCTTCAGTAGTGTATATACGTCATAAAATTGACAACTTTAAATCATAAATAATAATAAAAAGAAAAGATATTAATAGAATTTGGTTCTGAATAATATTTTAGATACATTTATTAATGTCATATTACAAATATAAACTTCTAAAGGAATGGTATTGAATAATTCATATGAAAATTAAGTAATTATTTTCCTTTATTTTACCACTTCCCTTATCTTGCCGATTTCATAGCCCTAGTAAGTGTGTAAAAAAGGAGTGTAAGTGAACTCAATAAAGCATTATTGAATATTTTGACTTTTGTATTTTCCACTTTAAAAAAAAAGTATACTTAAATAAATATAATCATATTATCTAAAAAGTTCATTCAATTCAATTTAATCGAAAATTGTAATTTTCTTATTTGTATAATTAGGTGGGTAAGTTTTTAATCTATTTTAGCATAGCCGTTCAAATAAAATTTTAGTAGTAAATATTATTGAATGTAAACTTTTTAATAAAAAATAATTATTTTTCTAGTAAGTGATGAAAAACAAAAAATTTATTAATATGCACGAAAAAAATATTTTACATGGACCATTGCCTATTGTGGAATTCAAGAATGTATCATTAGGACAACTAATTTTAAATCAATTAAGCATTCATGGTTTTTGGGTAGCACAAGTAAATAACCTTTTATTTTTTTTAAGTGTACAAGAAAAATAATATTGGCTTGTCAAGAAATATAGCTGCTGGATTTTTTGGTGGCCTTGCACCATTTCACATTAGTTAACAATATAAATCTTTTCAGATAAATGCTCATACAGGAAAAACACAAACATTTAAAGAAATATTAGACATTAGTCGGAAATTAGCAATTGCTCTTAATAAAGAAGGATTAAAAAAAAATGATCGGATAGCTATATGTAGTGAAAACAATCTAGAATATTATCTAGTAGTATGTGCTGCGTTTTATTTGGGTGTTACTGTTTGCCCATTAAATCCGCTTTATACAGAAAGGGAATTGAAACACGCATTAAATATATCAAAACCGAAGTACCTTTTTGTATCAACATTCGGAGCAAAAAACATTTGCAACAGTGCTCCACAGTTATGGTTGCCAAAACTTATAATGTTAACCGAATCCACAAATAATAAATTCCCAAGTATTAATAGTCTAACATCGAACATAATCATCAGTGATAATTTCTGTGCCTGTCCAATAAATAGTAATGATCATGTGGCAGCTATTTCATGTTCCAGTGGCACTACAGGATTGCCAAAAGGAGTAATGTTAACAGATAAAAACTTTTTGTCTGTAGTAACAAATCTTGCAACTGCATCACCTAATATTTTAAATACTAATACAACAAGCCTAGCATTGTTACCATTCTTCCATGTATATTCTTTTTCAGTAATGCTTGCAGGGCTTATTTTTGGAAATAAAAGTATTATTCTTCCACGTTTTGATGAAAAACTGTTCTTACATGCTATAGAAAAATACAGAATTGAACATATAACTGTTGTACCACCACTAATGGTATTTCTAGCAAAACATCCTATTGTGGATGAATACAATTTATCAAGTATTAAAGAGATTTGGTATGTTCAGTAGTTTAGCATGTTCTATTAAAAATATAATGCATAATTTCATCAAAACCTAAAGATTTATTTGCCTCTATACTTATTTAGGTGTGGTGCAGCACCTTTATCTGAAGAAATTGCAAAAATGGTTGCAAAAAGATTAAATGTATCAACAATAAAACAAGGATATGGATTAACAGAAACTACTTTGGCTGTAATAAACTCACCTGATAATAATACTAAATATAAGAGTGTAGGAACATTAGTTCCTGGAATATCAGGTAAGATGTAATTAACATAATTAATGATTAATCTTTTATAAATTTAATTTTAATATGTCTTTTTTATAATTAGCAAAAGTAATACCAATTAACGAGGATGAATCAAGCAAACCTTTAGGACCAAACAATATAGGACAATTATGTTTCAAAGGAAATTTAATAATGAAAGGGTACTGTAATAATGAACAAGCTACAGCAGCAACAATTGATAAAGATGGCTGGTTGCATTCAGGAGATGTAGGGTATTATGATGAACAAGGCTATTTCTATATAGTAGATCGTTTGAAAGAGCTTATTAAATACAAGGGATTTCAAGTTCCACCAGCTGAACTAGAAGCAATATTATTAACATGTCCTGAGATTAAAGATGCGGCAGTTATTGGACTACCACATGAAGAAGCAGGAGAACTACCAACAGCTTTTATTGTTAAACAAGAAGGATCTAATTTAACAGCAGAAAACGTTATCAATTTTGTAAATGGTAAATCTTTCAACTAATCTAATAATCATTTAATTTTCTTTTTTACATCAAGCACGTTTCAGAACGAGTATCGAGCCATAAACGACTTCGAGGCGGTGTTAGATTCGTTGAAAATATTCCAAAAACTGCATCAGGAAAAATTCTACGTCGCGTACTGCGTGATATGCTCAAATCAAAATTGTGAAATATCGACACAAAAAAATGAAGCAGTATCAATTTAAATGTATTATTCCTTTGTATTTACATTCATTTCAATAAGATTCGAAGAACATTATAATTATAAATATTTACTGAAATGACGTTTTATTGGAACATACTTTTTGTAAACGAAAGTTAATTTTGCATCATATTATTCAAAATTTTAAATATAAAAGAAAACGGTTAGAAGTCTGCTACTCTGGTCATATTATTGGAATATATTGATATCCTGTTTAATTGTATGTTAAAATATTTTCTATAAAGTTATGTACATTGCTGTCCTAACTTTTGCTTTACTTCATATGGTATATGATTTAAATACCATTGATGAATTTGACCAGGTGCAGTAGCTAACACACCTCTTTCATTTGAATATGTTGTTTCTGCATTATAAGAATAGTGGTCCCCATAAAAATCAGTTAATGTGCCACCAACAGCACAAAGAATAGCCTCAGGAGCACAAGTATCCCATCTTTTGCAACCTCTACTAGCATGCACATAAGCATGAGCTTTTCCTTCCATTAAAAGAATCACCTGTTGTGAGAAAAAACAGTAATAATAAACTCATTTAATATAACAATTCAACTATACATAGTTTAAATTATACCAATTATATTACCTTATATCCTGCACCACCAACTCGTAAAACTTCATTAGGATATAAGGCACTTATAGCTGTTTGAACATTACTGTCTGAATGTGAACTGAAAAAATATATATTTGTAACTTTTTTGTTATTTAAAGTAATCACAATTTGATACCCTTTTGTACCGTGTAGTTGTAATTATTCTTTTTCCATCTGGTGGTGCAATTGGTGTAAATCCACCAAATCCGATACCATTAATGCCCCAAAGAGTACGACCTAGTTCTTCATTCTCAGCATTTTTATAATATGGTTGATGAATTACACCACCAACTGCTCTATGTCCAACTGCCACTCCTACTAATACTGTAACATGTTCTACAAAGCCTTGTGTATACTCTAATGTTCCTAAAAGTATTAACTTGATTTGGCACATTTGATAAATGAAATATGTTTACATAATATAATTAAAGTAAATAATATACATATATACCATCCAATGGATCAACCCAAATGCACACATCCTTTGGGTCAATATCTTCTAAATGAGCTGGTAATTTCAATTTTAACACTTCTTGATCTGCTTCTGTTACAATCCAATCAGATGGTACTTCACAATTAGATGATTCTTCTTCACCAATAATGGTAATGTTGGGGAATTCATGGCTTAATGAAGCAATAATACATTTTTGAGCACAACGATCAGCTTCAGTTTGTAAATCATTCTGGCCTTTGTGTACTATATTCAGACCTCCATGAGTCATAACATCTCTTATAATTTTACCTGCTCTTATTGTAGCAGATACAGAAGAGGCTACTATTCGTGATAATAAACAAACACTTTGTGCCATTTTGCAATTATTCAGAATATTATTAATAAATATCCACACAGTTTTCCATAACAAAGAGCACTAGATCCTTTATTAATAATGCTTCAAATATGTACTACACATAATCATTCTGGATCACAAACTGTACAAAAAATTATAACAAAAAGTTTAGAAAGCAGTATTGGTTCTCAAGGTTATATTAAGTAATATAAGAAAATATAGTGTCATAAGAATTCATATTAATTTCATATTAATTTTTTAATATTTTCAGTGATAAATCAAATAACAAAATTTTGTATGTATATTTTTCGATTTACATATTTTTATATAATTAAAGCAATATAAATGTAATTTCCAACATATACAATGAAATGTAATCAATAAATTTCTTTTAATTTTCCGCCTTATGTAAATTTAGAAAAAATGTAATTTGAATACACAATATGTACATGCAAAATAAATCAAATAGTCTTTGAAATCTATGTAACTCTATTTATTTCGAATAAAAATATTGAAAATTTTTATTCACAAATTGTGTTATAATTCCAAAATCATTAAATTAATTTTTTGGTTTTATGTAAAAATATATTAAAGAAATTAGTGCTAATTAAAATAATAATGAGTAATAAAAAATAATTTATTAATAACAAAATAAGAATAAAAAATAAATTAAAATACTTACAAATTCGTAATACAAATTCAGTTATATATTAATGTACAGTATTATATATTAAAGTATATATCAATATTCGTATATTGACATTGTACAATGATGTCAATGTACACAATTTTTTCAATATCTTTCTTTCTCAAAATCTCATATGTAATCTGTTTTTTATGCAAAATTTTACCTGACTCTCTATATCATAAAGCAAAGATAGTAACACCGGTTTTGTAAGCATATCTTTTAATATAATAATAAACTTTTGAAAAATACATTAAAGTGACATTCCTTTAAACATTGTTCTTAAATGATACATATATCAAGCAGTGATGTACAAATATAACCTTAAAAATATTTTACATTATAATAATTATTACTGCAAAAAATAATAAATAGAATGTTATATCATAAGTTAATAATATTATCGATTAGCTGTTCGTTACGAATTAATAGAACACATTATAGTGTTATTCCTTATTTCACAAAAAAACGTTTCTCAAATTTAAATTTTATGCCATTATCATATCTTAATATAGAGTTGTCAAATAATATAAAATTTTTAAATGCATCAAATTATGACAGTAATCAAATTTCTTTAGAACTTTCTAAATATTTACAAAATATCAACCCAGAATTTAGAGAGAAAATTTTACAACATTATTTAACATTAAATTTAAATAATGTTGATCCATATATAATAAATAATGAAATAAGCAAACAATTTGTAGCATTAATTAAAGATGATTTATTAAAAAATATGACTTATGTAATTGAAGTGAATCCAGGCTATGGTTTAATAACACAAAACTTATTAAAAGCTGGTATACCATTTATACACTTATGGGAAAGTCATAATGAATTTTACCCTGTGCTACAAAATTTGAAAAATATATTTCCCAATCAAGTGAAAATAACACAAGCAAATCTTCTTAAAATGTCAAAAATGTTGAATTTAAATAAAGCATATGAATCTCATACTTTTAATACATATAATAGGCATATAAGTGGCCTATTTAATAATATATCAAAGAGAAAATGGGAGGAAGAAAGTTGTATGCAAATAATTGGAATATCAACTAACTACAGGTTTATAAGGCATTTAATAATAAGTACAATATTTCAAACAGGCTTTATGATGTATGGAAGGACAATTTTTTACCTTGCATTATCACCGTCTATATGGGCTGTTAGTACTATAATTATAAACTTCCTTCATATATATTAAAACATTCAGTAACATTTTTTTACTGAAATAAAGTTTAAAGTGTTATTCAAAAATATATATTTATACTATTAAAACAATTATTGTAATTATCGATTTACTGTATTTTTAGAAATTGACGTGTCATGGTAGTGGAAGTTCAACAAATTATATTATGTTTAATACATTATTTAATTATACTGTATTTGGAACACTAGATAGGAAAGGATTCTTACCATGGCAAAAAATTAAAAAATCAAACAATAAACATAAAAATGTTTTATTGCAAGCTGATAATGAACTATTTTATCTTGTCAAAATAGAACCCAGGCCTGACCTTCTTACATTATTTCGTGAGAAAGAACATTTAATATACTTTTGGCATTTTGTTCGGCATCATTTATATAAATCATCATCGAGAGTAATACCAACATTGGAGTAAGTATAATTGTATAGTAATAATATTTAAAATTTTTTATAAATTAAATTTATAAATAATTGTCTGTACTTAATTTCTCTTACTAATCTCAAATTTCTTTTAGGAAGATAATGCCAGGTTTTGGTATAAAATTAATAGAAAAGAATTATAATATTTTTACTCAGTTTAAAGAGTTAAATTTTAATCAAATGCTTGATATATATATGGAATTTAAATCTTGGCCTGAATTTAAACAAAGTTCATTTTTACCTGGTGCAAATGACATTTTGGAAACATATGAACCATACAAAGAAGGAGATAGTAATTAAATAAAAATTAATTATGTTATAATTTATAATGCTATATTTTATTCGTTATAAATTTATATTTGTGAAATAAAATTTGAGTTAATGATTTTTACATTCAGAGTACTGAATAAATATTTTGTTTTTTTCCACATCCTGAAAACATATAACTGTACAGTAAAAAATAGTGGGAGATAAAATTCATTTACTAATAAACACTTTCTATTGATTGGTTATTGATTTTAATTCTCTTATTGTATTGAACTAAGCTTGCCCTTGAAATCTTAGGGTCACATCAGGTCACTCAAAGAAACATGGTGAACTACATAGTGTAATCAGAATCTTTAGTTAATATCTTCATTTATTAAAGATTATTTGATTATGTAAGTCAATTCTATACTAAAATGTTGATTAGTGCAATTAAATTAGATATTCAATAACCTACTATTTTCAAGAAAATCGAACGTTTGTTCCAGTTTTATCCTAAAAAAAGAGGTGTAGTATCATACATACAGAATGAAGTGGATATTTTTTGGTGTCACATTAATAATATGGTGTTATATAATATCTTGTCAGGATATTGTATTTCCAACTGAAGAAGAAACGTCTCACGTAAGCGGCAACAATGCGACGGTAACTATATTTAATAAATAAAGATAATAAAGGAAATTAATATAATATGATAAAAATGAAAAAATCATCATTGTTTAGATAACAGAACGTATACCAGTATATTCACCAGATACATGTCCTGAAAATATGCTTCTTTATCCTGGAGATGGAAATATAAGTACATGGATATGTGATTGTAGACCTACATTTTTATATTTTCCATTGAATAACAGTTGTCATGAAGCATATAGGCAAGGACCATGTACACCACAGAATTATGTTGTACTTCCCAAGAATGAAGTTGTACCAAAATGTGTAAAAAATCCTTGTCTAGAGGATGGATTAGTACCATATAATAACACATGTTATCGTCTAAAAACTATAGATAGTCCTTGTAATCCAGATGGAATTATAGCAGTGAATGAAACTACATTTGAATTAGAATGTGTACCAACAGACATTGCACCATTCATAATAATTCAAGCACCTAAAAGGCAATGTCCTGCAGGAAGTCGCAGAAATTCTCTTGGAATATGCAGAGAAACAGTTGGAATATGAAGTAATATATTCCAGTCCATCAAATGTTTGTTTTTTATATAGGAAGGCATTTATTCATTTGGCATTTCACATATAATAAATTTCGGTATATTGTGTATGATTTAGATATATTATGAGAATATATAACATTCATATTTACAAAATATAATTATTAGTATATTTAAGTATGCTTATTTATAATATGAAATTCTTAGTTTATATACATTTAGTAACTCTATACATCTGTACTTACAAAAGTTTGTATTAGCAAATAGTATTTTAAACTTCTATATGCAATATATTTATGTGATCAATAACATGTCATTATTATGTAATTTATATTATTTTTACATATTGTATATACAATTGGACAAAAATACAATACAATAAAATATATTTAACAATCATTGATATTATTTAAATTAAATAACTGATTAAACTAAAAATATTATACCTAGATTCTAATACTAGTTATGAAAGGAATAAATTGTAATTTTACACAGTCTTGTTAAGTATAAGGATAAATATCTATGTAATAAATTAAATCATTTAAGTGTAAATTATATCTATTTTAACATTATAATTTTTCACTTTGGTAAACAATTTTTTAACTTCTTTCAGATTAAATAATCATATTAAATCATGTAACATGATTATAGTTATATTGATTATAAACTGTGCGTTTAGGAAACTGATTTCATTGGATATAAATATTTCTCTGAAGAATACAAATAATAGGATAAAAAAATACTACCATCTTAAGATTTAAACATTTTGCATAATTATATGTTTAAGTCGATTCTTGTATCTCATTGCTACTAGCAGCTTCTATTAATCTTTGTCTCTCCCTATACATTGAAACTTTCATGTTTTCTAATTGATGATATCGTAACAATTTTAATACTGCAAACACTGACAAGCCAACCCAAATAGATAAACTGGTCCAACTACCAAACTGAGCTGCACCTAATTCAATATGAAAACCAGATGTATTTATATTATCAGCTTTATCAATATCATTCCCAGCTGCCAATTCACATGATGGAAATCTTTTAGTCATACACTGACACCATGTCATAAATCCAAGTGTAATAATAATTGCAGCAATTAAAGTGATTGTTGTAAGGAATATTGTACCAACAACATCTATGAACGCAGATAAGAAAGAACTATCTTCTCCACGATACATAAATACAGAAAGCCGATAGATTTGTATTGCAGATGTTAATAACAACATCAAACCAACAAATATTGTATAATTACAATAAGCTCGTGAAGCCCAATTCACTACAAATTGACCATCTGACTCTTGCCAAGTTCCAGTTGAGAACAATAGGCAATGTCCTCTGTAAATAGATATTAAAAATGTATAATATATTTTAATATTATTTATTATGCCTTATTTAAAATGATAACTACCTAAATTCTTCCTGATGCAAACTCATCGGTATGATGATACAAAGTGACAAAACAAGAGCAACGACATATCCAGATATTTGACTTAGAAGCAAGATATTAGTTAGTGCCATTTTTCAAATGATAAAAGAGGATGTACGTCTCACAATATATTTATACAATTGTTAATTAATTTTTAGTGAAGTACCGACAATCTCAGTGACAAATCGTCCATTTACCACACATCTGAACTTATTAGTAAACTATATACGGAAATTACATTGAACATAGACACATTCAGGTTAGTAAACCTTTCAAAAATAATCCGCATCGGTTGTAACAATTTTTAAAAAATTTATCTAAATGATTCAATTTTAAACAATATTTAGGAAAAAGAAAGTTTTCTTTTAAATATATTCTTCATTAACGCAGCAAAAAAGGAATTTGAAAATTAATTTAAATTGCAAAAAATAAAAATAAATATATAAATGTTAAATAATTTAACGTGATTTAAAAAATAATTTACATACGCATTTTAAAAAGAACATAATAGAAAAGATACATTAAAATAAACATATTTAAATTATGATATTTAAAATTTTTAAAGATATTAAAAACCATTTTTTTCATACATATGCATCCAAACATTTATATAACAATATTTTAATAAAAATGATTTGTATCTACATTTTATATGTTTTAAGTCTGATAAGAAATAAGTTCTGTTTCTTTTAAATAGTTCACAAAAAACAATATTCGTAAAACAGGACACAATTTAATTTCTTTGTTAACGCAAATTTATATATTATTTCAGTTATCAAAGTAAAATAGAAACAAAATTAATCATTAATAAATGTGAAGAACTACAAGTAATTGAAGATGATAAAATTTCTACATTGCGTAGGATGAAAACACAGAATAAAATTTTATCAATACAAAAAACGTAAAGAAATATTGGAAAAACCAAGCATCAGTGCATCTCTTTCCATAGTCAGCTGATTTCAGTCAATGAGACACCAGTGTTTCATTTCGTAGTGTTTGTCGCGTGTGTGTGTGTGTAGTGCATCAAAAGGAAAATATTACGCAGCTAGAACCCCGTTATATCCGAATCACTGTATTATGTTAAGGATCATTGCACTAAAGTGGACACGTGTTAGAAAGATGGAATTCACGTGGATAAATTGTTTTTCTTACATTGTACCCGAATAACAGGCCTAATATAAAACGTACGACGAAAATTACTTTCGAAAATCCCATGCTTTCATAGATTAGATTGTCAAACGTGGGTATAAAATGTCTTGGTTGGAATGCATTCCTTGGTCTCAAGGGATCAAAAAACGAGCTTGTAGATACCTTCTGCAACGATATCTAGGTCAATTTTTAGAGGAGAAGTTGACACTGGATCAGCTTACTGTAGATCTGTACAATGGAACTGGTCGTGTAATCAATGTCAGCCTTGATGTACAGGTACTGTCATTTTCTTTGTTTCAAATTTTTTTGTTAGTCTTCAACTAACAAAAAAAAAAGAAAAAAGTAAGACCATGTGTGTAATGATTCTTTTGTTTACAATACTAATAAAAGTTAAGGAACCAAAAAAAAGTTATATACATGAATGTTATCATAACAGGCCCTTAATGAAATGGGAGAACAGCAACAACTTCCATTAGAATTTGTTGATGGCTTTGTATCTGAAATGTCTGTTAGTATACCATGGTCAGCTTTACTTAGTGAAGCTAGTTATGTGGAAGTAACTAGTTTGAGATTAACAGTACAACCTAGACAAAGAGCAAAAACTGGAACTTCAATGTTTGAATCCATGTGGAGTTCTATGACATCTAGCATGCAACTTGCACAAGAATGCTTACAAGAAGATGCGAAAAATGCTGGGAATTCACAGCCATTAGAAGGAGTTGAATTGTTTGCACAAACTATAGATTCAAGTAAGAGTTTAAGAAAGATCCAAAAAATTATAAATAAGGTTGTTAAAATTTAAGTAATATTTGTTTATTTCAGTTTTATGTAGGGTGAAAGTAAGATTTATAGATACTATAATACGTTTGGAACATGTGCCACTAGATTCTTCAACAGGAGTTGCAATAGAAATGTGTATAAAAAATCTGGAATATTCTGATGAAGCAGGCTTAGATCCAAGCAGTACTTCTTTAGATCCTAGTCAATCAAATAAAGGATATGTTGTGTCAGCATTTGCAACAAAACGATTTTATTTAGAAGGGGTGACCTTTCATACAGATGAATTTCCATCTCGAGCAAGAACTTTTTCTAGGAGCATCATAACAACAAGCAGGGGTTCTACACCAGATTCAAAAGTAACATTTTTTATTGGATTTAGTAAAAGAAAACTGAGAATATTTTTTGAAATTTTCTTTTCTAGAATTCGGATGGCCACTTCTCTTCTGCACAAATATCTCCGACTCAAAATATGCAAAATCCCCTGGAAGGGAATATTATTAATAATCTAAGTGAATCAAATCCTATAATGTTTGCTAAATTGGCAGGTAGACAAGAAATAAGATTGAAATTAAAGCAAGGAGAAAGTGTTTCAGGACCAAAGGTAAATGAGAATAAACAACTTACACATTCTTTTATTCAATGTAAAGAAAATAATACTCTTATTAATATTGTTAAAGTAATTATAAAGTATTTGGAACGAAGTTAAAGAGAACTGATTACTTTAGGTAGAATTAGAAGTGACACTGGGATCTTTTACTTCATTTTTAAGTCCTCGTCAAGTGCATGTGTTATTGGAATTAGGGCATGGACTTGCTTCTCCCGATTTAGAAGATGTCAGTAATGTTGCACCAAGAACTTGTACTGAGAAACCTATGGCTGGTAGTGACTTCAATCGCGTTGAAAGAGAACTTATTCATCAAATACATCCAACTCAAGGATTACGGTCCATGGTACAACAAAAATGATCAATAATATAATTTGTAAAACTTCGGAAAATCAATAAAATATATTAAATTTAAACAAAATTTCTATCAGGACTTAAGGCACACGCAAGGTTGGTCGACGGCATCTTTAGACGAATCCGATAACAAAGACGAGTTTTTACCAATGCGGTTACCGGATTCTACATCAATGAGTGATTCAGTCACGAGCAATAATATCAGTATGGACGGAAGTATACTATCTAGTAGTATTAGTTTAAAAAATTCAGCAACAAACTTACCAAAGCAACAGAAACATAGACATAGCGTGGATAATAGTCCATCTACAGAAACGTCTCATTTTCACCTGAGGGTATCTTCTATAGCTATTATTCTACTACACGAAGACATATTGACTACGTGTGTAGAAGGAGGCGGTCTAACGTGTTCTAGCATACGTCAGATGAAAAATTCGGCGGACGAATTTTTCAAACAAATAGCAATGTTTGCAGCTGGAGGATACGGGAACAAAGACTTCGATAAAGCATCAAAAGTACTTTTGAATGCATGCCATTTAAGTCATATTAGGTATCTAGGATATGATTAATCGTAAATATCAAAAGGTATAAAATCTTCCATTAATTTTTCGTTATTTATTATATAGATTACTTGCTGCGCCGCTAATAATTGAAGAAAGAGAAAAGAATGTTTTGTTTTCTGAAGTATCTGGAACATTAACTTTAGCTAGCTTAGAAATTGTAGAATGTTTAATCGATTCAAATAATTCTGAAGCAAATGGAACTCCACCAACAGAATTTGTAGAATTGCTTACTTTTCCAAAAGAGAATTCAACGAACTTTGGATTTACTAATAAAACGGATTTTAAAATGAAATTTAGATATGTATCAGATATTCAAAAGACAGGATGTGCACAATTTGTAAAAAGTGCGAATCCAAATACAAAAATTGAGTAAGTGTGTTTTTGAAGTATATTTATTTGAAGTAATTAAGCATTTTTTTGTCACTTTTTTTTTTAGTATTGAATTAGAACCATGCAAAAGCGAAGTGGATATAACTATTGTAGATAGAATATGTGCTCTACTTAATCCTCAACCTATTTGCGTTTGTAATCCTGTATCTTATAATAAAAATACTGTAAGTTGTAAATTTTCATGGTATAATTGTTTACCAAACAATGCTTTACTAAATATTATAATTTTTAGAATCAACAAACTTTGTTTTATCAAGCCATAGAAAGTCCTACATCGTCGGATTTTGCTGCTGTTATAAACATATCCTCGTCACAGTGTACAATAAAATTAAGGTAATTTACGTACAGGTACAGGGAAACAAAGATATCGTATCGAAATTGTAACATATTTCATAAACAATAATTTAAAAATAGGTTTCCAATACCAGATTTGAGACCGTTGCACGATATGAATCGAACACCATGGTGGAAAAGATCAGTGAGGACAGATTACATGATTTTGAAAATGAGAGATGCACAAATTCATTCTCGTCCACATTCAATTTTTTCAAAGAATCGTCTGCATTCTGTAAAAAAGCATTTTGAAATTCAATTCCGAAAGTTATTATTCTCATATGCAGAAACGGAGACAGATGAACCATTGAACATAGGCAAAGTTACAACTCATGAAAAAAGTAATGCATCATGTCAACAAGTTAACGAAGGATTTGGTTGGGCTAGAATAGTTATGACAATTTACCCACAACGTTTAAACGATCAGTTGGAAGATAGCTCTGAAGGAGAGCCGGATTCTAGTTTCGATGAAACTCTAGAAAATACGCCTAAATATCAGCCATCTCCTTTCAGTTCAAAACGTGTTATTCATGAATCCGATACGCCTCATTCCAGACCCCATACTCAAGGCGATAAAGATGATTCAGGACAAAGGTTCGTTTGATAATATTTTTTAATTTCTCAGATAACAACATCTCGTCTCACCTTGTTACTTTAATAGAGAGGGTGAGGAGCTAATTATACCAGGAAGTCGGGAAGAAATGCTAGAGTTCATGGATGAAGGCATTCGTAGTTCTAGAATACAATTAGAAATCAACTTTCCGTGTGTTTCCGTCCAAATACCATCTAAACATCTATATGAATTGCTATATAATAGATTCAATACTGATCTTTTTTTATGGAAATCATCAGCACCAAGACCGAAGTATGGTATGCACATGGAAAATCATATAGGTCTTGATTTAGCATCTACTTTGTTACAGGAATCTGTTTATCCTAGGTAAGTAATGTTATAAAAACAGATAATCTTTTCTCATATTCTATAAAAATATTTATATTCTTTTGTTTTAGATTTAGTACGTGTAAAAGTAGAATCCAGTACGATTCCGATTCAGATTCAGAAGAAGAAGGCGTATTTCATTCTGCAGCCGATAAAAGCTACAGACAGCATCAAAATAAAATATCGAAGAATGGTCAGAGTAATCTAGCATTAACTTTGAATATAGATCAAGGTCTTCTCTCTATGTACACTCCTGTTCGCGATTCAATGCGGAACGTCATTCCTGGGCAACAAGGTGAATTAATAATTCGAGTGAACGACGCGACGATATTTTCAGTAACCACGTATAAAGGGAATACAAATTTGGGTTACGTTTGTGCCATGATAAATGAAATATCTTTGGATCATTGTGGATTAATGACGACTCCTTCGCAACCACCTACATTAAGACCTATTAATAGCGACATTCCGCGACATTGTCAAAATGCTATATATAAAAGCGATCTAAACTCGAACGTAATGGGAACGTACAATAATGATGATATGGTGATGCTTGCTATTAGGATACAAGCTGCTCATCAGACACACCGTATTAAAGTTGGTTTGCGAGAACTTTTGAATCATGATATTATTTTTATTAATCAATTAATTAATTATAGAAATGTTTTGTAATAGACTTTCAGAGTGGCAGTAGGCATAAGAAATGCTACATTGAGACATAGAATGTGTAATACTGGTACATCATGGTTCACACAATTAACAGATTGCTTAGACGTAGCCAATCATCCAGTTGCTGGATATTCTCCACCAGGAATATTGACAGAATTGCACTTGCACCTTTGGGATTGCGCGATCGATTATAGGTTCTTATATTTATAGCCTAAAACAATATTCACGAAGTACAATAGTGTAATAGGAATTTTATATAATTTCAGGCCAATTCATCTACCGTTGAGATCAATCGTAACTCTCGGTAATTTCAGTGTTTCTAGCAATATTGCTGCGCATACAAATACTTCAACGTTGCGTTTTATAGCAGAAGATATCGCGTTGTTCATATCTAATAAATTAGGGAAAAATATAGATTTAAAACGAGATTATGTATGTGTAATGGACGTTGGATTGTTTGAATTATCGTTGAGGTTGAACGATAAAATGTGTGGTGGTGCCCCTAGGGTAGATTTAAGAGCAAGCAACAATGTGTTACACGTTCGGACTTGTTCGGATTCTGGCCGTGCTCTTATTCAATTGTTAACTTACTTTGCAAACGATGGAGACCTTTTACCGAATATGGAAAGTACTGAAAGTATCACAGTACCGAGTTCTGGTGACGAAGAAAGTCTTCTTGGGGATGAGTGTATTAATACTCTGAGTAAGAGTCAAGTCGAACGCGTTAATCGTTTGATGAAAGAAGCAATGGAAGAAACAGTAAAAGGTAATACTGAGTAATGTGAAAGATTCGAATCGTTTAAATATATATCGAATAATTATGAATAATTGGCAACAATTGTGTTATAGGCATACCTTCGAACACAGATGATAATGCATTAGTAACTGAAAATCAGGTCGAGGTGTTCTTTTTTCCCGACGAATCTCATCCTGCTTCGCAAGCAGTACCTGAAATGTGTAAAAGTCCCGAACAATTTATTAAGACAGAATGTAATGTAGAACCTGAGGATCCGAACGAAGAATTTTGTATATTAGGAGAAGAAGCAGGTACAGGAATTATGCCGAGACATGGGGTGCCAGAAGTTCGTTGGCTCTGTCAAGAATCTTTAAGGATAATAGATAATCATTTCGCGGTTCCCCTTGCTAAAACTGACTTACTTAAGGCACCAAGACATTTTCCAGCTCCGATATTAAGATATACTCTTTGTGAAATGACCTTGGTCTGGCATATGTATGGAGGGAAAGATTTCGAAACTTCACAAACAATGGCTAAGAAACAAGTCATTATCAATGAAAATATAGTTCGTCCTAACACGGCACCTCAGGATAAGTATGTATTCCGATCATTAAATATCTGTGCCAAGAATTCATATGAATTGTATCATGTTTTTAGAACCAGGTCGCCATGGTGGGATGGTGTAGCATTCAATAAATCCAATCCAAATGAAGTACACTTTGAAAGTGCACCAAATTCGCCACGAAGAAAATGCAAAGAAATAGCTGATTGGCAAGTAATGGGAGGTCCTGGTCGCCGTCATGATGTTTTAATGGAACTTCAATTAAATAAAGTTCGCTTCCAACACGAGGTTTATCCAGAAAATACAGCAGAAGCAGCGAGACAAATATTATTAATAAACGAGATAGAAATTAGAGATAGATTGGCATCCTCGCACATTAACAAGTTCTTGTATCAATATAGTAGCGAAGCGAGACCAAAACAGTCTTACGCTAACATGTTTGCCATGAAGGCAGTCCATGTTAGACCAGATCCAAAATTAAGTGCTCAAGAGTGTTGTTTAAAGCTCAGTCTACTGCCGTTACGATTAAATATCGATCAGGATAGCCTATTGTTCTTGATAGAATTCTTCAACGAATTGAGCAGCGGTTCAAAGCAAGCTCAAGAGAACGCTAATGCATCTAATAATCCGCAGTCCTCTCCAGTGTCCAAACAAGGTACGCCGACGCATCATCCACCAGTTATGAGTGTAAACGATTCCACGCCTAAAGCTCCAACGCCAACGCCAACGCCAACGAATACATCGCAGACCGATATTATAGATCCGAATTTATTAATACTCTTGGAGGATGAATTGATGATTAAGGAAAACAATGTGAAGACGAAAACGACACATGAGGTTCATGAAGATTGTCAACCAATATATTTTAGGTAAACTAACACATGATATGATATTCAGATAGATAGATAATATTCAAGTAATAAGTATCAAACGATAACCTTGTTGATATATCGTATTCTAAAATTTGTTTTGTTTGATTCGACAGGAGTGTGATATTTTCCCCAGAAGTCCTTGTTAGATTAGATTATCATGGAAAGCGTGTAGATCTTACTCATGGATCGTTAGCAGGACTTCTAATGGGTCTAGCGCAATTGAATTGTTCAGAATTAAGACTGAAAAGATTTACATATCGACACGGACTTTTAGGATTCGATAAGCTAATAACGTTTTTACTTTCCGAATGGTTACAAGATATAAAGAAAAATCAACTTCCGAGTTTACTTGGCGGTATAGGTCCTATACATTCGTTGGTACAATTATGTAAGTATATTTTTAATTATATTACTGTATTTTACTCCGTGTTCTAGATATAATATGTAATAACGTCATATATATTCGAGCAATGATTTGCTTATTGTCACAGTTCAAGGAATAAGAGATTTATTCTGGTTGCCTATTGAACAGTATCAGAAAGATGGTAGAATCATTAGAGGACTCCAACGAGGTGCAAACAGTTTCACGACGTCTACTGCAATGGCAGCGTTAGAACTGACTTCTAAATTGATACATGCTATACAAAGTACGGCCGAAACGGCTTATGATATGGTCAGTCCTGGTCCCAGTGTGAGGTGTCATCACAAGGGACAAAAAGGACGTCGGAAAAGATATAGTCAACCATTGGACATTCGAGAAGGAATGACTAATGCTTATATGCTAGTAAAAGAGGTGAAACGTCGAATGCATTCAAAATCATAGAAAATGCTATTATATTTCACATTAATTGAGTAGTACATGTGACTGTTATGTATTTTAGGGTTTAGGAGAAACAGCGAATCAATTAGTTCGTGTAGCCAGTGAAGAACACGAACAAAAAGGAGTCTCTGGTGCTGTAGGCGGCGTATTACGACAGATACCGCCAACAGTTGTGAAACCAATTATTTTAGCTACAGAAGCAACTAGTAACGTTTTAGGTGGTATGCAGTCGCAATTAGTACCGGATGCTCGTCGAGAGGCTGCTCAAAAGTGGCGACAAGATTCAAACGATGCGAACTGAAGTTGTTCGTTTGAATGGTGATATGGTTCGATATTTCTATCGACCTTGGTGTAACATATGAATCCATGACGCGAATAGTAAGAATAATAATACGGAAGAGAAACGCGTACGAAGTTCTTTTTTTTTTTCTTTTGAAATAAGAAGTCTATGATAAGTAAACGTAAATTGACTCGATGATTCGTAAATGTGAATGTTACGAAAATTTCTTAGACCTGATCGCATAAATTTTCTTGAAAAGACGCAAGTCACCTTTCATCATGATATAATATATTCGTATAATTATATGTTTCAGTTCCATTGGTTTTGTTACATATTACGAAAAGATCGATGCAATTTGTTATATTTATAGTTTATAAATAAAATCTATATATACTATCGTGAATATCGTCTTCACAGCTTGTATGTACTTTTGTTCTAATGACGCGTATGTTTTATACCAATGATATGTATGTAAAAACTTTCATTAATAAAATTATGATGCTTATTATTGCATGCCACTTTCTGCATGAAATATAATTTTACCGTTATAACGTGCTAGGATTAATATTCGTATGCTTAAATATCCGTAAAATGTTTAAATGTGTCGAATACAAGTTTACCTATTGCCGATACCCGAAGCATATCTAACGTTTACGATCTCTTTTGCAGATGTCATAACGTGAAATTCTTGTAAATATACGCCCTCTCGGATCGTAAAGAAAAACTATATGAAACATGTGATAAGTTATCTATTACCCGCAATTTTACTAATTTAATAAAATGTCACGTAATTTTGTATTCTAGCTGTGATACTCAATATCAAGAATGTAACAAAAAAGTTGTAAACAATATGTGCATTATATTCCTACAATTAATTACGTAATTCAAACATGTACAGGACGTGCTGCCGTCTGTCGAGTATTTTAGAAACTATAATATTTGAGAAACACCTTGTTTTCATAAGTTACCATGACAATAAACAATTGCCTAGGAAATATTTGAATTCTGACATTCTTCGATACAGGTAAACACCGATAACAAAAGTGAATCGAAGTTATAACGGCAAAGTTGCTAACCTTAGTTTCGTCATAAATTGCTTAATTAAAGATGGACGAAGCAGACGAAAGGATTGAATTTGAAAGTTCTGAAAGTGCATCAACATTTACGAAAGAGGAAGATCATAAATTAGAGGAGAAAGAATTCACTCATGAGGGACTCCTTAAAATAACAGAGAAACTCATACAAGAAGTGCAGCAAGAATTATGTTTGATTAAATTATGTTGGCCGGAAATTGACCGAACAAAAGATGTTTACCTAAAAACACTTCCGAGTAGTTATTGTACCATCAGTGATAAAGAGAAGCTGCTCGCGTGGTATGCTGAAAATTTTCGACAACAATTTCACGTGAAATATCCAAATCGAAGACCGTTGTTGCTTGTGCGTGAAAATGAATGTGGCGTACAAGTAAGTAAATCATTAAGTATATAGTAATAGAGTTCCGATTCAAACGAAATTTCAACCCATGAAAGGTTCGTTTCCATCGTACCTTGTTTCTAATTCATAATCCATGTATCATCAAAGATAACACAATGCTCCATGCACAAATTATGTACGTAACTGGATTAGAGTTTGGATCATGGTGATGAATACTTTTTTTTATGAAAATTTCAGTTGTTTAAATAATTCTGTTTTTATTTATTTTTCGTTTTGTTAAAATTAATAATTTTTAAGTATTAAATTAAAGGTTAATCGAAAGACTCGAACGTTAATTTCGATTTATCGATTCCTTTCATCTACGATAATTTCTCGATATCGATTTATTTATTTAAGACCCTCTCTTACGTGATTGAAGTTTCTCGTTTGTTAAAAAGCAACAGAGGTTCGTTTTAATCGTTACAAATTAATTTTCATCGTTGGCGAATTTTTTGTGGCCAAAAATCGGATGAACTTCATTACGGTTGTTTTTTTCCTAATACGTTCAAGATAGTGGACAATAGTAATGTACAGGAAGTTGATTTGTGTACTTTTTAAACTCGATGTGATAGCTTAAAAGATTCTCCAATGTTTATACATAACATCGTATATATTTACATTACACACTTTTCTGCACATTACAACACGTGTTGAGTTATTTCTTTTATCTAAACAGTAAGTAACCTTTATACAAACGAAAGAACGGTCGACAAAAGTATAGTCGGTGCGAAAAAAGAAACAATCCGGCAGCGCAATCCACCTCCAACGAGTTATTCTTCGAAACGGAATAAACCTGTAAGTCTTACACGTTCGAGTATCGTTTAGTTAAAGGAATCTTCATTTCTCGTTACTCGCGCGACTGTTTTTCGGTTTGTCGGTAAAAAGGATAAGTTAAAAAATTATGCGAATACGTTCGTGTTTTATTTGTTTTCTCTTTTTTTGTTTCTCTTGTATTCTCTTGATAAATACTTATTTCGACTCATCGTACAAAAGCATTATTCTCTGTATAAAAATTCAAACGTATTATAAATAAAATTATCGGTATTACGGTTAAAAAAATTTATTGAGTCGTTCAAGGTGTTTTTCAAAGGTAACGAGGAATGTCATTCTCGAGATAGACTCTAAAAGTTTCTCATTATCGTTAATTCTTCCTTACTCGTTTGCTCTTTTTTTTCTTTTTCTTTTTAATTCAACTAATGGAAATATAACTGCGTAATAGGAATCTTTCTAATACACTCGAATCTCCTCTTCTACAGTCTAAATAATAAAAATAAACTTCGCTATACATTTATTCATACATGCTTCAAATGTTCTACAATACATGGTATGCACTTTGCGTGCAAGTGCACGGTCACAGTCTTATTTACACGTACTGTCACTTGACAGCACTTTCTTCACTTTGGTTTCCTGTTGTTTGTTGTTTTTATAAATATACTTTGCTAACCGCAAGATTATTTCCCTTTAATGTATCAAACGTCTTGCACCTTACGTGAACACGATAGGAACAATCGTTTTACGAGACGTGATCTTTTATTCGGGAAAACCGCATCGAAAGAGGAAAACAAAAATGACTGGTAAATGCTTCGAGCGTGTCTCTCGAAAAAAGTTTTCGTTTCTATCGATAAAACTAATATGGCAAATCGACTCGTGTAACGAATTCGTATCGCGATCTATGTTATCGACAGAGGTGGTAAGGAAGAGACCGATAGAAAAGGAGGAATAAATACACGAAAGGAACGAAAAGAGAGCGTTTCGGGAGTAATCTTGCTGTAACAAAGTAACGTTAAGAGTTAAGAAAACAAAATCACGAGATAGAAAGTGTCTTTATAGTTTAAATCGCTTCTTGTGCAGAAATTCGTGTCTACGACTATCAGACGAAGTACGCTGCCATATCCGGAACTGTACACGTGGCAGGGGTGCAAAAAATTTGTCAGCGACTATATCGAGTACGAGCCACTGAACAAAGCACTCAGTATGGTAAGTAGTCAAACGTGTTGTCATCAAACATCTTACTTCGTAAAGCTAAGCGACGAAGGTCCTTAAATATATATATTTTTATATATAATATATAATTTCTCATCGATATAACAAACATCGTCTTGTCGGTTTTTCATCTCGATTTTTCTCATTTGTTTTGTTTGGACCATTTAGTTTCGTGCGAGTCGCGTGCACACATTATTTTAAACCTTATTATTATTTACCGTACGTAAATAACCCGCTAACAGAACGAGAGGTAGAACTGTTTGGGAAAAAGCGCAGTCCACAATTAAACATTGTGAAGCCATTATTTTTCGTTTTTAAATATACTCGCGAGATAATTAGAACATAACCGCAAACTAAAATGAACGCGTTTTCTCGACCGTAGATAACGTAGATCGCGACCTATATTTCCGACTTGTGGTATTATCTCTGTCGATGATCGCGTCTCATCCAGGGACAAACGCAGCGGGGACAATTTCGTCAGAAACAAAAAAAGAAAAAAAAGACAAAAACAAATTTTGAAACGCAATATCTTTCAGCGGCCAAAAAGATCCATAATCTTTTCTACATTTTTATCCGACCGCGAGGAAATTCCCGCCGCGCGCACACGTACGCACTTACACTAACGAATGATAGATTGTAGTCGATAATAATACCTCTCTACGAACATCTTAACTTTTATTATAATTACAACAGTCCATTCACGAATTTGGTATATCCTCTTATGTACAAGGTTTTAATAAGGAAATTGTAGGGTTGTTGCAACCCATTTTGATTCAGCCCGACTCCTAAGGTAACTTAGAGGAAGAGGAAAGAAAGGGAAAGGGGGGCGGTGAGAGAAGAAAATAAGGAAAAAATCACGGGGAGCGGGTTAAGAAACACAGGATCGTGGGTCGATTCGTTTAAATTACTAAGAGGTCCGACGCGATGGGGGTTGAGCGGAGGGCAACACAGTTTTTCTCGTTCGTATTTCTCTCTTCCCCACATACACACACGCGCGCGAATCGGAAACGCGAGAATACGAGGTGTACACGAATCTCAATCGAAACGATAAAAAAAAGAGAGAAAAAAAATAGGAAAAGAAAAAAATAAAATAAAGAATTCTTTCGAACGAGACGCGAAGTGTTCGACGGTAGGAGATCGACGACCGTGTGTCGCGTACGATAGCACGAGAAGAGAAACAGCCAGAACTTTTTTCTCACTCTCTCCGTCGCCCGTTTCTTCGCTTCCATCATCCGTCCCTATGCCTCTGTCTCTGTCTCTGTCCGATTCAACCTATCTTTTTTCCACCTCACGAGTCGCAGCGTTGGCTGGCGCACGCGCAAACAC